CTATTGTATGGATTAGCAAACAAAAGGAATCACATCTATTATTAATGGACATATATTGAGAAGCCTAAATGTTAGAATCCAGCTCAGAGCTCCATTCTTATTAGTTTTGGCCTTTCAATATGTAAATATGTTACTAAAACAATAAGCATAGTATTTTCTTGAATAAGAGAATAATGGTTTGATATGACTACAGTTCTCAAATCAGCCTGGGCTCATACTGGGGCTTTAATATGCAGCATTGGACACTATCAGACAATATTCATGTAAAAAAGTGAAATATTTTGAAGAAATGCTTGTGTGCACTAGGGCAGATAGAGGTCAGATTTCACCTTATAGTGGAGCAAGAATTAAAGTTTATGGCAAAATCAGCTGATATCAACGTAATGTAAATGACCCAATTTCAACTATAATTTTTTTTTTAATTTTAAACTTTGATGGAACTTGTTTCAAATCTGATAAAAGTTCCATACTGTTATCCTGGCTCTCTCTATGAAGTGAGAAAAGAAAAGGCTCCAGACATTTTCTTAACATTTTAATTGACATTTAAGGAGGCAGTGTTTCTTTTTTCAAACGGAAAGCAAGACAAACCATAATCATCGCCTCCCGATCCGCACTGGCTGTTTGTGTGAGGAGAGCCGTGCTGAACGCAGATTTCACATCAGATAAGGGCTCAAACAGGCTTCAGCAAAATGTCTTCCGCGTGCCAGAAACGCGTGAATGTATTCTACATTTTCCCAGCCATGGATGTGAAGGCTGTGCCAGGTGTGTGCTGACGGTTGTGCAAGACATCGAAATGTTTCCTGTTACTGGTGTGTTTGTGGGAATCCATCTGCTACTTCGAGTTATGTGTGATTTTCGGGCAAAATAAAAAGAGCAAGATGAGGTAATGCATTTTGCAGAGGAGAGATGGTAATGGAGTAGGGCACTGTTTTGTCCATTTCCAAGCCTGAAATTTGAGTAGTTTTTATTGCCTTTCTGGGTGAGAGCAGTGATCAAATGCTGCCCATACTGTGTTGATTGTGTCCCAGGAGCTCCCTTAACAAGACAGCCACCTTCTTCACTGAAAAGACAATCCGTAACACATTAGTTAACATGACAAATTTCTCAATTTCATTGCTGAAGTCTGTAGGTGTAGAGACATTTTGTGCTCATTTCTAATGAGTCGCTCTAGTCAGATTTACTTAAGCGAGGGGTTTGGTTTTTCAAATAGGAACAAAATGTGATCAACCCTGTCCCATTCTTGGGATAGAATGCTAATGTGCTGCTCAGATGCTTCAGATATAGTTTTACTGAGTAACTGTACTTAAATGCTTTAGTATATAAACCCTTCAACCATCATCCTTCTGTTTCTCCTCCCTCAGAATACACACATTCTTCATTTGCACACTATCAGGAGTGTTTTCATAACTGGGCTGCACAAGCATTCTGTTTCTGTTAAGTGTAAACCTGTCTGTATTTACATACTGTACCTATCAGTGACCTCTTTGAAATCTCTGTGCATGCCTTTGTTTTTCTTTCACCTTTGCTTATGATTGTACTGGATGTCCCATTTAGATGGCATTGTGTTTATACAGTATGAGAATCTGCTCAAGGGACAGAGAGCAAATGATGCAATAGTAGGTCATCCCTTTTCACATTCCAGTCATTTTACAATGCTTGCTATATAACTTGTGTTTTATTTACGTTGCTGTTGATTCAGCCTAGATTTTTGCAATGCTTTATAAACCATTGCATGCAAATATACTGCATCCTGTCAGATACAGTTGAGCAATCTAGACATACTGTATGAGCAACGTCCCTGCGCTGAAATGCAGCAGATACAAAGACTTTTGTATCTGCTGCAATTCAGCGCAGGAACATTGCTCATACAGTATGTCCAGATTTTGGATCTGAAGGTTTGAACTCCTGCGGTGTGCAGGTCCAGTTTCAAGAAGCCAAGGGTAATATTTATGCTGGCCAGAAGAACTGGTCAGCAGTTCATTCAGTCTATGAATTGGCTTCATTACTCTGCTCTCCTCCCCACTGATAGCTGATGTGTGGTGAGTGTTCTGGCGCACTATGGCTGCCATCCCATCATTCAGGTAGATGCTGCACATTGGTGGTGGTGGAGGGGAGTCCCCATTACCTGTAAAGCACTTTGAATGGAGTAGCCATAAAATTGTAAGCAATTCTTATTCTTATTCTTATTCTTATTCTTATTCTTATTCTTATTCTTATTCTTAACTGTGTAAAAGGAACTAGGCCACACCAGTGTGTTCAGAGGTGCTCCTTTCCTTGCAGGTCACGTTTAAAAGCACAGTATTGTACAGTGCCTACAGACAGAAACACATACAAATCCAATGAAGTTCACTTGTTATCTCTTGAGTAATCACATACTGTAGTACTTTCACTAGTGGTCAACCATTGATTGAGAAGGGACCAGCAGAGATTGGGTTTGTGCACTGTTATTTCACCTTTACACACCAGCTTTTCAGATTATCACTTAGAAGGATAGGACAAGCTGCCACAATCTGATCACTGCCTTGCTAGCACTCTTATTATTAAGACCTTACTTCTGGCCCCCTGGAGATGGAGAGTTAATGCCTCTGTGTGAGCAGTAGATGCCTCAGGTGTGCAGAGCACAAGAGCATAAGCAACAAACCCATGGAAAAACAGAAAGCTGTTGTTTTTTACTGAATACAAACCTGCTAATATTTTCTGGGTTGTGTCAGCCTGTAGACATGTATGGTATAATGCCGCAGTTTGGCCTCATTTATGCTTTATTTGGTGTCTCTTGTTTTTCTTTTCACTCTATACAGATGGCCTACTAAACACTTGTTCATCCTTGATTAGCTATATATAAACGTAGTTCAGGTGGGTAGCTGCATCAGAATGCATAGGCTGCAAAGGAACAAGTAATAGGTTTATTCCATGCTGAAAAAAAGAAGAAAGAAAACACAACGTTTCGGCCGTGGAGCCTACTCACACCTGAAGAAGGCTCCACGGCCGAAACATTATGTTTTCTTTCTTCTTTTTTTCAGCATGGAATAAACCTATTACTTGTTCCTATATATAAAAGTGTCAACTGTTGTGTCTTCTTATATCCCAAGGAGCTGCAGTGGTTGTCTTTGGGCCTTTGAAAGCTATTGTACCTATTTATCTAGAGAATGACAGTGGGTTTTCATTGAACCAGCACATGTTTTTCAACCTTTCTTATGGACATACACAGCCTCATATCATGGAATCTTTCACTGGGAGCAGCCGAGGGCGTTGGTCCATTCTGCTGATTTCCCATTCGAAACTGACCTCAGATTCGAACAATGTCTTCAGTATCTACAGTCTTGTGAATGAGATCAGCAGATAGAGTCACAAACCTCCTGACACTTTGTGCTGACTGTGAACTGCAACACCATCATGTAATAAAACAGAAGTGCTACATTATGCAACTGGTTACAGTTCTCCACGGCCTCAGAGAACTGAGACAACAGGAAGTCAACTGCACTGAATACTTGTATGTTCTGGGTTAGCTTACCTGGCAGAACACAATAGGAGTGATTCCTATATTTTGATTGCTGTAGTGTAATCCTCCTTGATACTAGTGTAGCCTCTAGGGATGAGACCTCACAATAGTATTGAGTCCAGAAAGCCCTGCAAACTTAAACATTTTTCTCATAAGGGTGTCCTGAGGATCTTTTCCTTCTCAGCAGCCCAAGAGATGGTGAGCAACTCTCCTATTTAAGATTGAAAAGAACTACACAACGTAGGGCCATAATTTAAAAATCTTATGTATTTTTGTTCTCAAGTCAAAATCCTTTCACAAGAAGACTGTGACAAGACAGTATGTACATTTTTCACTCTTCAGGTTTCATATGCTTTATGGGAAAACCTTGGTCTCCAGAGATGTGTTATTTACAATCCTCCTTTTCTCTCCGTTGGTGTTTTTTTCTGTATTAGTTATTTAAAATATTTATATTACCCCTTGACCTTGACTTTAGTGGGAAGTGATGTTAACTGTCTCTTTTATGTGCAACTTGCACAGTCCGTGATCATTCGACCACATGTTTTTTTCTCAGAAGCCCAATAACACTCCTTATATCACTTTAGAAAATGAATCGATAGTGTATTCAGTGCATTCTGAGGTCTTAGTTAACAGCTAATGGTCTTGCCAATCAGACTAGCCTGTACACTTCCCGAATGAGGATCATTTGGAATAGTTGTGATCTCCAGTTGAACCAATCAAGAATTTTCTGAGTTTCCCCTCCAACGAGAAATATGGCCAGGATGCCCAGAAGGTCTCCCATCCAGATACTGGCCAGGCTCACACCTTCAGTGGTCTGCCAGTTGTGAGCTGCAGGGTATAGCTGCTGGCTATGGAAATATTCCAACTCATTAGGTGTTTGTGTAGCAGAGAGCCTATAAAAACATCTTTAAACTGGACATTTAAAGCATTGTCATGGTTTTTCTCACTAAACCTTCAGACTTGAACGTCTTTGTCACTGGTGAATTCAGATGATTCCACTCCATGCTTTGTCATTTGGTCTCTGGTTCATGGTGGCTAACCAAAATCACGTTGCTATACATTATAACATTTCATTTCTCTCAAATTGAAATTGGTTGCATATCCTCTGAGTTTGGTTTGTGGTGAGCATTTGCGGTGTTTTCCTCGTATGTACAGCTTAATGGAGGTGCTGCTGTCTTGGAAACAGGATTTAAGACAAACCAAAAGGAGATTTATCTCTTGGGACAGAGCGGTGACACTGCAGCTAAGGATCTGCGCCTGTGGCTGGAAGGTTGCTGGTTTAAATCCTGCGGCTGACAGAGGAAACCTACTCCAGTGGGCCACTGAGCCAGGCCCTTAACCCCAGCTGCTCCAGGGGCGCTGTATAAATGGGTGACCCTGTGCTCTGACCCCAAGCTGTATGGCTAATAAAGTGATCTTATCTTATCTCAATAATCAGTTGGAATGTCTTTACAACACCCCTGCCTTAAGCCAAAATGCAGTGTATCTCTTTCTCTTCTAGGTACTCCTCACTAATCAGATCACAACACATCTGAGGGTTAAAGACGCAGCCCCTGTACATGAGGAACAGAGCATACCAGCAGGTACAGTCTTCTGCAGCCCTGTCTGTCTGAGACGATAGAGATGATTGGCTTGTCCTGGACTTTGAAAGATGTTATAGTTATAGAATATATATAGTGAGATATATGTGTGCATATGTGAAAAACATGTCAATTTCTCCCTTGGGGATTGATCAACTGTATTGTATTGTAGATTCTGAGAATATACAGTACTGACACCAGTTAAATCTGACATTCTCAGAAACGGTGGAATTGTCCGAACATTTCATAATACTGCCACACCAGTTATATAAATGCCAGCCTTATGCATGAGTAACAGGGCTCTCTACAGAAGTGACATTACCCTCCTCTGAAATCTAGACCATGCAAGATTCTGCTACAGTACCCAGTCTTATGGTGTGACGGAGATATCAGCTGTCTAGGGAGTGACACTGCAGATGCTCAGACCCCGCGCCTGACTGGGAATGAATCCCAGAAGAGACAGGGAGAGCTGCACTTGCCACTTCCAGCCCTGTGTGATGTTCAGTGCTGAGTTCCTGTGATTGTAGGGATGTATGGCTTCTCTGGTTCCAGCTTTGCATTGTGTCACAGTTTTACACATCCTGCGTAAATGCTCATTTTAATGTGGCAGGACTCTTTATATAAAGTGTTAGTATGAGTGTTGCATACCCTCTGAGTTTGCTTTATGGTGAGCAAATGCGGTGTAGTACGGTACATTCACCGTACAGTAAGGGGAGGGAGAGAACTTTTTTTTTGGTTGAGATTTCAAGAAACAGCTGGATGTGATCCTAAGCTCAGTGCTCCTAGAAATCAAATGACTGGGATGGGCTGGATGCCCGCCCGTCACTTGGCCTCAGTAAGAATGTCTCTTCCTACATGATTCTGCACATTTCACAGCTTCAACAGGTACAGACAGCTTTTTGACATGCTACAGTAGCTACAGCCTCACTATGGCAGCTGCTGCTACAGCTAATGCCTATATAGGCATGCTACAGTATCTTAGCATAGTTCATTTAAAGAAGTATCTGACAGCACATTGTTAAACACGTGCAGCTTCCCACTGTTTGACGTGCACAAAGAGAAGCTGTCTTGTGGTTTAAATAAACTGCCAAATAACTTTTTTTCTTGATTTTTTTTGGGACCTGCTGTCTGACTTCTCTCTTTTCACTCCGGCGCACGTGGTAAGGCGAAGGTTTCAGTTAATGTCGACGCAAAGGTTAAAGATGGGACAATATCTGCTTATAGAAAAGAAGGCACCTCCCCCGGCTGCCTTTCTCCCGTTTTTCAACAGAAACACCTGGGCTGTGCTGCTGAGGCGACCTGTAACTTTACTCGCCGTACTTATCTAATTAGAACTCCGACTCCAAACAGGAAAGGGCCCCTTCGCTCCATCTGCTCCGGCTGGGGAAATGTAGAACAATGAGGCATATCCGATTCTCAGTCCTGGTTGTGTAATCAGATTAATATCTGACGGCTTTGGCCTAGTCTTTTGTTTCTCTTTTTTTTTCCATCCTAGGTTTCTGCTTTCAACACCAGGTACCTGTTTTTTTTTTTTTTTTCAGAAAAGTCATCTCTTACCTCAGTTGTCCATTTTTTGTAAATAATGCGCAAGCTCTTTGCATTTGGCGCATGGAAAGAGGGGATAGGTGACCAGACACAGGTATGCCTTTAACAAACCCATACAGTAAATCATGTTGGCAATCCCAAGCTGAACATCTTGATTTGTGCTTGACCTGTGCCTGAGTGTTTTCTGACTTGCCTTGTAGACAAGACGGAGTTTGCCAGCTCCCAAATGCTTTTCCTCAAAGGTCGCAGGTGACACTCTGCCTCCTTTAGATAAGCCACGTTTCAGTCTAAAAGAAACATCTGCATGCAAAAGTGTATTGTCAATTAAATGTGCTAACGCACACTGTGAGGAAAGCATGCCAGTTGTCTACTTGTTTCAGACATTTCCCTGACTATACAGGTGTGTTACATGTCGCTTTAACAATTTAGTACTCAGTGTACTGTAAGACATCAGCAATTTGGTTTTCAATATCAAAATTCTGTTTTCAAACGAGCACATTAACATCTACGGCTCCAATTTTTTAAATCTACTGTATATGAAACAGAAGGCAGGACAAACAAGGAAGAAAATGTCTGAGATCAGGCACGGAGGATTGAAAGTTCAAATAGCTGGTTTTGCCACGTACCCACATGAATAGAGCTGCTGGGTACACGTGATTCTCATGTGTCTCGTTGTTTCATGTGCGGGCTAGAAATGCAGATACTAAAGGGAGTATTTTGGTCTAAAACTGTACCAAGAAGTAAAGTATGGCTCAGGTAATGAAGGGCCTAATTTCACCCAGCTGTTTCTTCCTTAAATGCCCTTGCGCTGACATTGCAGAACGTGACTATGAAGTAATTGGTAGCATCAAAAGACTTTTATTAGAAAACCACTCTGTAAAGCAAAGGCCTTGAGGTTTCATTTGAGTCAAGTCCACTGGCCTCTTTAATGGACTCGAAACAAAGAAGAGTATCCAGGCCTTGTAGTCTTAAGCTAGCAGTACCCCTCCCCCTTTTAAAAAATATATATATAATTGGAAAGAAAGGTGGAAAAGTGAACTTTCATTTTTCCATTTTTTTATATTTCATTTTGAAACTTGAATTTTTTTTTGGCCTGGAGTAGATATAACATGTGGGAGGTGTGATCAAGGTGTTCAGTTCAGCCAGACATTTGCTGAAGAATCACCATGGTGACCATCGCCAGAGAGACATAAAGGGAAATGAAGAGCAGCTTTGTTCAGGGCTGAGGGTTGTGAATTTGGAGAGGGAAAAGCATGGTGGTGTTGTGGATGCTGTGTAATTGGAATGTTTAGTATAAGTCTGGATGCAGTTCTGGAATCATCAAGCTGCTAGCAAAATAGGCTAAACAGGCACCCCTCTCCTTACTTTTTTATATAGTCTAATGCTCTTGCTAGATGTCCTATGTGGTTTTCTGCAGTTGTTTTTGACTTGAGTATGCTTTTAAACCGCATTAAAGCCTAGGTTGCAATTAAACATTTGGTGATATGAGGTTCTACACAACGGTATGTTTGTGGCTCTGCTTGAGGCCTAATCAAGGAGGAGAGAAGCTTGGCTGTATTCTCACTTCAATATGTAACCCATGTAAACCTCTATCCTGAAAGTGAACTTTGTCGGAAAGAATAGGTTTGTTCAATACCTTCAATGTCTCGTCATCCTGCCAGGACTACACTTTCCTGTTGTTTTGACTAGAGGTACAGGCTTACAGATCCCTTTTGTAGAGCAGACTGACCAAGCTCCAGTGCACGAAGGCAAAAGACCAACATACTGTAGTAAGGCCTCCTCCAATTCAGAGTGTACAATATGCATTGGGTCTCCATATGAATACAAGGAGGTGCAAACCACTTATTTTCAAAATGGTTTACAGCAATGCTACCCAAATATTTGTCCCTATAGCTACTGTGTGCAAAAGGAGCTTGTGCTCTGTTTTGAATAGGTGTTTCAGTTTTGTTTCTGAGAGTACACTCTAGTTTAGTGAAACAGAGATTGCCCTGTGATATTTCTGCAGACAAAGGGACATCATAACATTAGTAAACAGCATCAGATATGAAACACCTCCCCAAAGTTCTGCTTTACAGCATCTGGTGAGCAGACGGGCCAGAGGCTGTTAAGATCCAACTTGCAAACAGTATGGGGGGGGTATGTTGGCCCACAGCCAAGTTCTTCAGGCCCCAGGAGCTCCCTGTTTGATAGAGGTCAGGGGTTTGGTGGGCTTGGACACTGTGCGACTGCAGGAGTCCTGGATATCTGATAGCAGATCCAGATTTTGATGGAAGCCCAGGTGGTAGGGACTCTCTGTCATAAAATATGAGAGATCATGTTCAGACTGGTGGCCGCTCATCCTCTGACACAATGGATGTGTAGAAAATAGCAGCCTGACAAGATCAGTTTGGGCTCAGCTGAAAGTCTGAACTGAAAAAATCACTTTCCTTCCTGTTAGTTTGCTGTGGATTTGTGACAAATTCAGACTTGCATAAAGACAGTAGGAAAAGTCTTTTGTTGAGCCATCAATTACAAAAATGTGTTGTTTTTTCCTTCCAGTACATTCACTTAGAGTGCAAAGAGCCCCTGCATGATGAAAAAAGCTCAAGATACCAGATTCAGCGTCAGCTGTGTTTGAGTGCAGTTTCACAACTGTGTTATCACTGTTTCAAGGCTGTTCATTTAAATATGACAGGGCTCCTTGGTTATGGTTCTCCTACAAGTTAAGTAAATAAAAGTAGGGAAAACGGTATTCAAAACTATTTGAGTGTTGTATATTTATTGCTTTTTACTCAAAGGCTAATGTGTTGGTAGAATCGCTATATCTGATGTCATGTCAGGTTTCTAATGAATTCACAGCTCAACAGAAGTTGACACAATGACCATGCAATAGCAACCACAAAACATGAGAGGCAATAACTAAAATGGTACATCTTGCACCAATTACATATAGATCCCCTATCAACCTGGCCATATTCATATATTCAGTCTACATCCTACAGTTTTATCCAGTCAAATTAAAGATATTTCCTGGCATTAGTCATGTTATCATTGCATTGCTAGCAGCAAGTGCACATTTATTTTTGTGAAAGGGGTAAACACTGTAGAACAGTGGTTAGGGCTTTGAACCCATAACTTGAAGGTTGTGGTTTCAGGTCCCAAGAGGGACTTGCCCCAGTCCAGGCATTGCTGGGGATTAACTTCTGAAAGCAGAAGAAAGCAGAGGATGTTCAGGCCAGGTGAGCCTCTAGACTCAGGTATGGACTTTATGTTTAATTTATATTGAAGCCTTACTTAAAGCTGTAAATCTGCCTTTTAGTGTGTTGTAGACATCTGTAAGTGTTTGTAGACCTAGACATTAAATTAGACCAGAGCAACCTAATTAATTAAGAGTGCTTTTGATAGGTCTCTTTTCAACCTAACTGTAATGCCACGCCATGAATCACACAACTTTGAGACCAGGGAATGAAGCTGAAATC